TGTGTGTGAGGGGGACCTGTTCATATGCGTACACATGTGCAAGTGTGTGCATATGCATGCAGAGGCCAGAGGTTGACATAAGGCATCTTCCTTGATTATTTCCCATCCTGTGTTTTTGAGGCAGGGTCTCTCACTTTCCCCACTGAACCTAGAGCTCACTAATTGCCGAGGGTGGCCAGTCAATTGACTCCATGGCTCTGCCTGCCTCTGTCTCCCCAGCACTGAGATTATAGGTATGCAAGCTTGGCATGACAAAACTATTCTAACTTGCCCTTTCCCACACCACAGCCCCTTGTCTGTCTGCATCTGCTCTGGAGAGAGATGCCTGGACTAGGAGAGGTAGGAAAGGTGGACCAAAAGGAGTCCATCTTCCTGGACCCTGCTCACCGCTTGGCTTCCTCCAGTCGGCACAGGTACTGATAAGCAACATTCTGCCGCCTCTGCTCATCCATCTCCTCAGCTGTGAGGCGTTCATCTGAAGTGTGAGGGGACACAGTCAGGGAACGCAGCCTGAGAGGATCCCAGCACCGACACTGGGAAGCTCACAACTACCTGTAACCAGCCAGCTTCAGAGGAACCGAGGCCCTCCTCTGCCGTCTGTGGACGCCCACATGCACAAGACACACACACACACACACACACACACACACACACACACACACACAGAGAGAGAGATACATGCACATAAATAAAAATAAAATAAATCTTAAGAATCAACAAGAACAAAAAAGACAGGAAGCTCAACTCTGAATCTGCTTTTGAACACTCTCCCTAGGCAGCCCCTTCTGGGCACAGAAGCACTCTCCATATCCCAGGTCTTTTTCCCAGTGTACTCAGCATCAGGGAGCATCCTTCTCTACCAGAGACATTTCCTTCTTTCTTCTGCAGTCATCTTCCTGTCTTTCTCTTCTTTCCCGAGTCTGCCTCAAGAAGGACCTTCAGTGCCACCAGCGGCTATCCAGAGCCTTCTGCATCTGGGAGGTTAGCTTTTACCCTTCATTAGGGGCTGACTTCTCCATGTGCTGCCACAGGTGCACCCTGGACGCCTGGCTGACACAATCAGCGATTAAGCTCATTCATCCACTCAATACCTTTCTGTTGGGCCCTGGGCTAAAGAATCTCAACTCTTAAAAAAAAATACAAGCCTAGTGTGGTGCATGCCTTTAATCCCAGCTCTGGGGAGAGAGAAGTAGACGGATCTCTGTGAGTTCAAGGCCAGCCTAGTCTACAGAGTCAGTTACAGGATAGTTAGGTCTACATAGTGAGACCCTGTCTTAAAAAAGAAAAGAACAGAAATATAAAGATGGGTGCTGGAGAGATGCTCTGCAGTTAAGACCACTGACTGCTCTTGCAAAGGATCTGGGTTCAATTCTCAACACCTATGTAGTAGCTCACATCTGTCTGTAACTCCAGTTCCAGGGATCTGATGCCCTCTTCTGGCCTTCACTGGCCCTAGGCATCCATGCAATGTAAAAGACATACATGCAGGCAAAAAACAGCATACATATTAAGAGAGAGAGAGGAGAGAGAGAAGGAAGGAGGGAGGGGAGGGAAAGAGAGAGAAGAAACACTGACAATTATGATGAGAGAAAACCATGTTAGTGAATAACTCCACCAAAGTGAGAGGGGCAATTATAGGCCATGAATAAGATCTCAGGTTAGCAGAGGAAGCAACTATTCTATCTGAGCGTTGTAGAATAGCAAGCAGGTTAAAGCAGGACAGGTGGCCCAACAGAGGATCCATACTACATGCTTAAGATTAAATGGAAGCACAAAGAGAATTTTAAAAGCTCACACAGGTAACATCACTATCTTTTTTTTTTTTTTTGACAGGGTTTCTCTGTGTAACAGTCCTAGCTGTCCTGGAACTAGCTCTGTAGACCAGGCTGGCCTTGAACTCACAGAGATCTGCCTGCCCCTGCTTCCAAGTGCTGGGATTAAAGGCATGCGCCACCACCACCCAGCACTATTCTTTTTTTTCTATACCCACTTTGAGGAAGAAAGTGATCTTCAAGTTAAACAAAATGTAGGTAACACTCTGACCTCCAAACTCAAGAACAGGGAATGCCTTAAATGGGACAGCATTCCTGTTCTGCCTTAGCCATGGTCTCTATCTCTCTGTTTTTCACGGGAACACAATACAAAATTAAACAGGGTGAGGAAAAGTTGCACGCACACTTTTAACAAATGAGCTCAGAGAACATCCAAGAGATGGCTTGGTCGATTTGTCTTTTACTGGTCCCAGTTATTTCTACTCTTCACCCGATTGCCTCATCTTGGATATCCTGCTCTATGATTTCAGGAAGGGCTGGACTTATTTGAATTGGCAGTTATAAAAGTTCAAACCCACAGCCACACACTTCCAAATACAGCTTTGAAAGTACTGGCCAACGGCAGAAAACTCATGAGTTCCTCTGAGGGAGTTTACAAGGAACAAGACTTGGCTGTTCAAGAATGGAAAATAAACCAGTAAGTGAGTGACTTCACCTCAGAGCTATGAGTTAGGGACTCAGTAAGATGGAATGGGCGGGGCCTGGAGCGCGCGCGTGTACACACACACACACACTGTCTCAAAAAAAAAAAACCGCACAAAAAAACAGCCACCACAAAATGGTTTATGTTTCTAAGCAGCATTCCCTAATGAGATAGTTGGACACCGATGATTTTGGAGAAGGGGTAAAGAAAGCAGGTTTTGTTTTTCATTGCACTGATCCTTTCAACTCTTCCCAGGAACCTGGGTTTCTCTCTGAGAAAGCAAGTGTTGCAGGCAGCCCAAGTCAGAATGACCATGAACTCTTGACCTCCTGCTTCCACTTTCCAACTGCGGGAGCTGCCGGAGTGCGCCACCAAGCCGGCCCTCCAGGTTCTGCATTTTAAAACAAGGGGCCAGGTGATTAGGAACCAAAAAGTTTGAGAGGTATTGTCTCAATGCGGAATCCCAACCTCTGACACCTTTTGACAAATATGGGAATTGCAGGATGTTAAGGGGCCATCAAAATCGTCTACATTCCCTGACCCTGGGGCCCCAGAACCTGGGAAAAAGGGAGAGCTCCCTTCGAAGGTTCCCCTGCGCACACCGGCCCACTCCCCAGCAGCCCATAGCCCCTCCCGCGAAGGCCAAGCCCCACCAGCAGCACCCCCACTCCACCCTCCTGAGATCCCTGCCGCACTCACAGGCTGTCCGAGCCCGGCCTGCCGCGCACGATTCCATGTTCCTTCTCCTACCAGTTTTGAATCTCCCGCCTCTAGGACACCAGCACTCACCGCGGTCACACCGAGAGAGGACGCTTCCGGTCGTACCGCACGGAATCCTGGGTTTCGTAGTTTCTCAGGTGGGACGACTAGGGCTAGCCTTGGGGCAGGTCCTTGATTTACAGTTTCTGTAGGGCTCCTTCTACGCTCAGCTGGCCTTTTTAAAGAGTCCCTGCCGCTGCCCTTCCTTTCATTAACGTGTCCCACTTCCTATAGAATTCCTGGGACTCCCTGTACGCTAACGTGGTGTTATCCACAGGGGTATACATGCTCTCTAGAAAGTGCTGTTGTAACAAGTGATAGACACAAAATCAAAAAGCTTGGAGGTGAGTACCACACTGAGGGAGAGAACCATTGAGTGGAGGGCAGAGAGCTTTCCTAATGGAGGCTTTAGCTGATCTTGAGGCAAGACAGAAAACAGATCTAAATAGAAGGGCATGGGTTGGGAATGGTGTTGTGGAATATTGGTTGAAAATGTGTTACATTTGTTTACGCTATGGAACATTTGTTTAATGACGCAAAGATGTGTTGCATTCTTTTATATTGCATTTGTTTAATTCTGTGAAGCTGTGTTACTTTGTCTAAAACACCTGATTGGTGTAATAAAGAGCTGAAAGGCCAATAGCTAGCCAGGAGAAAGATAGACGGGGCTGGCAGGCAGAGAAAATAAATATGAGAAATCTAGGAAGAGATCTGGGAGCAAGAGAAGGAGATCTGGGAGCAAGAGAAGGAGAGACCACAACAAATCACAGAGTAAGAAGTAAAGAATGGTAGATAGAAAAGAGAAAGGGGGGCTGGGGAGATGGCTCAGAGGTTAAGAGCACTGGCTGTTCTTCCAGAGGTCCTGAGTTCAATTCCCAGCAACCACATGGTGGCTCACAACCATCTGTAAGGAGATCTGATGCCCTCCTCTGGCCTGCAGACATGCAGGCAGAACATTGTATAAATGAATAAATAAATCTTTACCAAAAAAAAAAAAAAAGGAAGAAAAAGGGAAAAGCCCAGAGGAAAAGTGAGATCTGGTGCCCTCCTCTGGCCTGCAGACATGCAGAACATTGTATAAATAAATAAATAAATCTTTACCCCCCCAGGAAAAAGGTAGACAGGATAATTTAAGTTGACTAAAAACAAACCAATCAAGCGCTAAGGCTTAAAAAATAAAAAACAAGCCTCTGTGGCAGCCAAAAGAGTAAATGGACCCTGGAGTCTGGTTGAAGTCTCTCACTAGCTAAGAGTTAAGACTGCGTTAAGACCACTACCTGCTCTTCCAGAGAATCTGGATTCAACTCCAAGCATCCACATGGCAGCTCACAACCATCTGTAATTCCAGCGCCAGAGGATCTGACACCCTCACACAGACACACTCGCAGGCAAAACTCCAATGCACATAAAATGGAGTCCCCCCCAAAACCAACTAGAAGGCCGAGTCCTGTATGTAAATGCAAAGAGCCTATACTTCTTACACAAGTTTGCAAACTTCAGTTAGGGTTGGGCTTTTATAGTAGCAAAGGTGGGGGGATGAGGGATTTCTAAGGTTCAGGACCCCTGATTGGCTGACTTTTGTCTAGGGGTGTCCTGGTGAAAAGCGATGGGTGTGTGCTGGCAGGTGATCCTATCTACAATGGTTGGAACATTAGGAATTTCCTTTGGATGTTCTGTTCCTTGGTGGTGACTGGGTGGTCTCAGTTTGTGGTCTTTCTTGGAACCAGGGAAAACTACTGAGACCCCAGGCTTCTAATGAGCTTGTCATGGCTGGGTCCACGCTACAGAGCCCGTAAGGAAAGACTGCACACATTGCCTACAGAATTGGTGAGACGACTACCCAGAGATAATATGCTGTTTATACAGAAATATTTCAAGTAAGACTTATACAATATGAAGAATGAACATGATCACAACACAGTGTATACACATATGGAATTTCCAAAAGAAAAACATGGCAAAATCACAGTGAAACACGATTAAGACCTAAGCATGTATTCATCTTCCAGTCGGGCCTTACTCTTCTCTTTCCAAAGATTCCCTGCACTGTGGAATGAAAGCCCAAGGGTTCCTCAAGTCCCTTAAGGACCCCATCCTGTGGCGCCTTTGGTAAATGCTGAATTTTAAGGGGCTATCTAAGTCAGCTACATTGTCTTGACCTGGAGCCCCAGAACCTGGGAATAAAGGAGTGTGCCCTTTGAAGGTTCTGCAGCGCAAGACGACAGGCATATTTACCTGCTTGCAGGCTTACTTCTGCAGGCTCCCGCAGAGCAGTGCTCTGGGCAGGCCCTCCCACAAATGCCAAACCCCTTTTCTGGGAATCTCGCAAATAAGAATATGATCATTGGGCTGCAGAGACAGCTCAGAGGTTAAGAGCACCGACTGCTCTTCCAGAGGTCCTGAGTTCAATTCCCAGCAACCACATGGTGGCTCATGGCCATCTATAATGAGACCCGGTGCCCTCTTCAGGCATGCAAGCATACATGGAAGGAATGTTGTATACATAATAAATAAATAAATCTTTAAAAAAAAAGAATATGATCATTGCTTACAGTAAAAAACACGGTTCAACTGTCTTGTGCAATCTTCATGTCTGCCTATGGCTTTCCCTTCCCTATGTGACTTTGTCCTGTGCACCTTGACAACCAACCTATTTAAGTTCCTTGGCAACCTTCTTAGATGTAACTTCAGACAACACCGAAATCTGATCTATGGTTATTACAAAGGCACAAAAAGCATGACTCACGCAGAAGCCTACCCCCATGTTTGGGTGGCTGCTCTCTTTTTCCGCTATTATCAGATGTGCTTACATCTGTGTTAAAATTCTTACTAATAAAACTCCAATTCTGTTTCATTCTGACTTGTCCTGCAATTTCCTTTCTGCAGCAGAACCAGAACCCTAGCTTTACCTGCAGCGGACTCTGAAAAGAGCTCAGGCCGCTCCAGGCGGCAGCTGTGCCTCTGGCGCCTGACAATCCCAGCTGAAAATGGAAGAATTTACCAGATTAAAGGAGAGGGGCATTCCACACAGTGGCAATAGAATGTGCAAGAATATTAGGAACATTGATTATCTTAGTGATGGGGAGGAAAGGTCAGCAGGGAGAAGGACACATCCCACACACCTCAGATACCTTGCCAAGGCACTGAAACCAGGGCTGGTGAGCAACTCCCAGCCCTTTAGATGCAGGTCAGAGTGGTTTTAGGCTTTAGAGAAGATGACAGCCAGGGCTTGGAAACAGTGAGACTGGGTACAGACTAATTGGGAAGCTACTTCAGTGTTGCAGGGGACAGATAAGCTGGCTTCACTAATAACATCTATGACGAGAAAGGGAGTGGGCATGGTGTGTGCTTGGCTTCTCTGACCTGCTTTTCTCCCTTCTCCCTCTGCCTCAGGCCACACAAGCTGTGGTGGCTAGGCAGGGCTCAAAGCCTCACAGCAGATATTTGAAAAGACTCTATGATGGTTGTTACTAATTGTCAACTTGGCAGAATCACCTGGAAGCTAGGCCTCTAGGCACACCTGTGGGGGGTTATTTTATTATGGTCATTGGAGTGGGAGGACCTTTTTAAGTTGTGGGAGGTACCATTCCCTGGACAGGGGGTCCCAGGCTTTTTAAAGTGAATTTGAGCAGAAAGCACTGCGTCTGCCCCTCACTGTGTCCTGACTGGAGATGCAGCTACTTCAAGCTCCTGTTGCTCTGCTTCATACCATGATAAACTGTGAGCTAATATAAATCCTTTCTCTCTTCAGTTTCTTTTTTAAAAATTATATATATATATATATATATATACATACACATACATATACACACACACACACACACACACACACATATATGAATGCTTTTTTGAGGTTATAGTATAATTACAACATTTAGCTTTCCCTTTGCTTCCTCCAAACCCTTCCATATACACCCTTTCTCTCTTTCAAATTCATGGCGTCTTCTTTTACTAATTGTTATTTCTTTTGCATGTGTATATGTATATACACGTGTTTTCCTAAATATAACCTGCTCAGGCTACATCGTGTTATTTGTGTGTATGTTTTCAGGACTGACCATTTGGCACTGAACAAACAGTTGGTGAGCTCTTCCTGGGGAAGGCCGTCTCTTGCTCTCAGCCCTCCTCAGTTGCCCGTGATCCTTTGTACAAGGGTGACCCCTCAGGGCCTTCCCCTACTCATTCTGGCATGCTCATCGCGGTCCTCCTTGTTCAACTCATGCTTGGGCAGTTATACTGGTGAGCTTTTATGGGTGTAGCTTCTGACATTCCTAGAAGACACAATCTGCCAGAAAACTCCCTGAACTTCTGGTTCTTACAACCTTTCTACCCCTTCTTCCACAGTGTCCCCTGGGTCTCTTCCCGAACCTTCTTGTGTATTTAATGCCCATCCCTAAAGAGCCCCCTTTCTCATTTCCCTGGCCAGGTCACTTGTACCCTGCTGTTCCCCTCTCCGTTGTTCCTCAACCCCTGCATCCCCACCCCCTGTCCTGGCACTGGTCCTGTTTTCCTTTCCAGGTTTCTGCGGTCATTTCAGGCTGTGTTCTGGTTTGGAGCCAGGAACCTCTGGTGAGAGAGAACATGCTGTGTTTGTCCTTCTGGGTCTCAACTACCTCCCTTAATAAGGTCTTTTCTCATTCTATCCATTTATGAGCAAAAATTCACGATCTTATGTTTCTTCACTGCTGAGTAGTGGTGTGTATTCCACAGTGTGTGCACACCACATTTTTATTGTGAGGTTGTTCCATTTCCTAGCTATTGTAAACAGAACAGCAATAAACATGGCTGTGGAGTGTGATGTTGAGTCATGTGGGTATACGCCAAGGAGTTGTATAGCTCAGTCATACAGTAGACTTAATTTTAGCTTTTTGAGAACTGCCCATACTGATTTCCAGAGTGACTGTACCAGTTTACAATCCCAACAATGAGGATTCCCTTTTACCTCACCCTCTCCAGCACTGGTTGTTGGTTGTGTTGTTGATATTATGCAAAAATCCGTGGGTCCCCACAATAGCCAACAAGGAAACTGAGTCCCATATGTAAAAGCAAAGAGCCTTTATTTTTTATTTATTTTTAAAAAATATTTATTTATTATGTATACAATATTCTGTCTGTGTGTATGCCTGCAGGCCAGAAGAGGGCACCAGATCTCATTACAGATGGTGTGAGCCACCATGTGGTTGCTGGAAATTGAACTCAGGACCTTTGGAAGAGCAGGCATGGCTCTTAACCTCTGAGCCATCTCTCCAGCCCCCAAGAGCCTTTATTTTAATCAAGTTTGCAAACTCGGTCTCTCCGCATATCCAACATATTGGAATAACTGGAGAGCCACGAGTTCAGTTAGAATTGGGTTTTTATGGTAGTAAATGTGGGAGTGAGGGGTCTCTGAGGTTCAGAACCCCTGATTGGCTGACATTTGTCTAGGGGTGTCCTGGTGAGGTGTGCTGGCAGGTGATCCTATCTACAGTAGTTGGAATGTCAGGCATTTCCTCTGAATGGTCTGCTCCTGGGTGGTGGTCTGGTTATCTCAGTTTATGATTCTTACTGCAACCCTGCCTCAGGGTAAACTACTGAGACTCAGGCCTCTTATTAAATTCATGAGGGCCAAGTTCTACTCTGGCAGGTGATGATGGTTGGAAATAAAGAACTTCCTTTGGGTGACCTGTCCATACTTAGTTTGTCATGGCTAGCCCCCACAGTTGATATTAGCCATTGTGACTGGGGTAAGATTAAATCTCAAAGTCGATTTGATTTGCATTTCCTTGATTACTAAGGAGAAAGAACAACTTTGGGGATATTTCCTAGCCAATTATTTTCCTTCTTTTTAGAACTCTCTATTCAAGTTCCAGGTCCATTTCTTGAATGGGTCATTTGGTTTTTTTTTTTAACTTTATTTATTTACTTATTATGTATACAATATTCTGTCTGCAGACCAGAAGAGGGCACCAGACCTCATTACAGATGGTTGTGAGCCGCCAAGTGGTTGCCGGGAATTGAAATCAGGACCTTTGGAAGAACAGGCAATGCTCTTAACCGCTGAGCCATCTCTCCAGCCCCTCATTTGGTTTTTTTGACTGTTGCTTTTTGAGTTCTTTGTATATTCTGGATATTAGTCCTATGTCTCAGCTGGAAAGATTTCTCACCAATTTTGTGGGTTTCCCAGAGCTGATTGTTTCCTTAGTTGTGAGATGTTTCTTTAGTGTAGGGAGCCCCCCTTGTCTACTGTTGACTTTATTTTTTTTCATTGTGATACATTTTTATTATCTTTTTTTTCAATGATATTTATTGAGCTCTACATTTTTCTCTGCTCCCCTCCCTGTCTCTCCCCTCCCCCCTTCAACCTTCCCCCAAGGTCCCCATGCTCCCAATTTACTCAGGAGATCTCTTTTTCTACTTTCTATTTCCCATGTAGATTAGATCTATGTAAGTCACTCTTAGTGTCCGCATTGTCGTCTAAGTTCTCTGGGGTTGTGGTTTGTAGGCTGGTTTTCTTTGCTTTATGTTTAAAAACCACATATGAGTGAGTACATGTGATTGCCATTTTTACTATGTTAATTCTGCCTACCCAAGAGCATGGGACATCTTTCCACTTTCTGGTGTCTTCTTCAATTTCTTTCTTCAAAGAAACCACTTGTTTGGTTAGAGTTACTCCGAGATATTTTATGCTAATTGCGGTTATTGTGAAGGGTGTTGATTCTCTGATTTCTTCCTCAGCCCTTTTATCATCTGTGTACAGGAGGACTACTGATTCTTTTGAGTTAATCTTGTATCTTGCTAAATTGCTAAAAGTGTTTATGAGTTGTAGAAGTTCCTTGGTAGAATTTTTAGGATTGCTTATGTAAACTATCATATCATCAGCAAACAGTGAGAGTTTGACTTCTTTTCCAATTTGTATCCCCTTGATCTCCCCTTGGTGTCTTTTTGCTCTAGCTAGGACCTCAAGAACTATATTGAATATGTATGGAGAGAGTGGACAACCTTGTCTTGTTCCTGATTTCAGTGGAATCGCTGGGACTTTCTCTCCATTTAGTTTGTTGTTGGCTGTTGGCTTGTTGTATATTGCCTTTATTATGTTTAAGTATGTTCCTTGTATCCCTGCTCTCTCCAAGACCTTTATCATGAAGGGATGTTGTATTTTGTCAAATGCTTTTTTGGCATCTAATGAGATGATCATGTGGTTTTTATTTTTCAGCTTGTTTATATGGTGGATTACATTGATAGATTTTTGTATGTTGAACAATCCCTGCATCTGTGGGATGAAGTCGACTTGATCATCATGAATGATGGTTCTAATGTGTTCTTGGATTCGATTTGCCAGCATTTTATTGAGTATTTTTGCATTAATGTTCATGAGTGATATTGGTCTGTAATTCTCTTTCTTAGTAATGTCTTTCTGTGGTTTGGGTATAAGGGTAATTGTAGCCTCATAAAAAGAGTTTGGCAATGTTCCTTCTGTTTCTATTGTGTGGAATAATTTGAGAAGTATTGATATTAGTTCTTCTTTGAAAGTCTTGTAGAATCTGAGCTGAAACCATCTGGTTCTGGGTTTTTTATGGTTGGGAGATTTTTTTAATATTTATTTATTTACTTATTATGTATACAATATTCTGTCTGCAGACCAGAAGAGGAGACCAGACCTCATTACAGATGGTTGTGAGCCACCATGTGGTTGCCGGGAACTGAACTCAGAACCTTTGGAAGAGCAGGCAATGCTCTTAACCACTGAGGCATCTCTCCAGCCCTGGTTGGGAGATTTTTGATGACTGTTTCTATTTCTTCAACTGTTATAGGTCTGTTTAATTTGCTTATCTGGTCTTGATTTAATTTTGGTAATTGATATTTATCTAGAAAGTTGTCCATTTCCTTTAAATTTTCCAATTTTGTGGAATACAGGTTTTCAAAATATGACCTGGTGATTCTCTGTATTTCCTCTGTGTCTGTTGTGATGTTCCCCATTTCATTTCTGATTTTGTTAATTTGGATATTCTCGCTCTGCCTTTTGGATAGTTTGGATAAAGGTTTGTCTATTTTGTTGATTTTCTCGAAGAACCAACTCTTTGTCTCATTGATTCTTTGTTTTGTTTCTATAAGTAGTTGTTAGTCATCATGTGGGTGCTGAGAACCAAACTTGAGCCCTCTGCAAGAACAGCAAGTGCTCTTCACTGCTGGGCCATTGCTCCAGCCCCCCTTTCATAAACTTTCATTGAAATCTAGTTGTTCCACATGTTCCCAGGCTAGAGGAAGACAAGAAAGCCTCCCTTGCTAACCCTATGTGATAAATGGGGCTGGTGGCACAGCTCAGCGGCAGAGTGCTTGTCTTGAATTCTGGGTTCAATCCCCAGTACTGGGGGGTCAGGGTTGGGGGAAGACTTTGGGGAGAAAAGGCCTATGAAATTACAGAAGGTTGCAGGGACCTTTGCTTGTTTGGTGTTTGGTTTTTGTAGCAAGGGGGATTAATTCACGGAAGGGGTCTGAGCACTAACAAAGGCCACAGGAAGAGTTCTGTGAAGTGGGAGACAGAATGCTGCCCACTGTGACACAGGAGGCAAGGGAAGAGTCAGGGGGAACTTCTCAATCCCCTGGTCAGAGGTAGACTCCAATTTCCCTTATGGGATCCTACTGGAGGGGTAGAGGAGGGAGCAAAGGCTGACACGCTGACCCCTCTGTTGTCTGGTGTCAACCCTAGATATTCCCCTGTTCCCAAGGACAGCCACCCAAAACTCGAGCCTGTACCCAAATCTTCAAACTGTGGGAAGAAAAAGGAGAAAAGGAAGTGGCTGCAGCAAGAAACCAATGTCGAGACCCTCACCAGGGCTGGCCTCACGGCTCTACAGGCTGGTCAGGCTCAGGAGGCCTTGGGCAGCTTCCAGAAGGCCTTCCTGCTAGCCTCCATGGTCCCATCTTCCAGAGACAGCTCTGTTCTTCGAGCCTGCGCCTTCAACCTAGGTGCTGCCTATGTGGAGACAGGTTACCCGGCCATAGGACTTGAGCTACTTCTGAGAGCCCATCCTGAAGAGAAGTCCAAAGACTGGTATTGTGCTGACCAGTGCTTCAATGTGGCTTTGGCCTATTAGGCACTCGGTGAACTGACCCAAGCTTTGGACTGGTATCACAGGGCTCTGGGCTATTACCAGTCCCAGGGTGACCATGGGGAAACACAGGCAAAAATGGGAGCCTGATATCAGGCCCTGGGATGGCCTAAGCAAGAAGCCTGCAGTTTACAGGAAGCAAGCTGTGAGCTGATGCTGACCAGAGCACTGATGGAGGAGCACTGTGAGCTGATGC